GAAAATAATACTAAATTTTGTGTCGGGTGAGAATAATAAAATTTAAAAAGTAATGATGTGATTACAAATTTTATTTACATGTGAAATAAATGGTTAATAGATATAAATGTGGGGTTGTTTTAACAAAATATAAACTTGTAGATCAATTTTTGCATTAAAATATCTCAAATCATGATATAGTATTCCCATATGATTTCATATCATGGTTTTAGGAGAATAAGAAATCACATCTCATGACACTACAACAAAAATGATCATTAGCGGTAATTAATTATTAATTACCGCTAAATATGTATTTTTAGCGGCAATTGTCACTCTTTGTATATGTTCCTAAAGCCTTTAGCGACATTAGTTCTAATGACACTTAAATAATGCTGATAAAGACTTTAGCACTTTTTAATAATGTCAATATTTAATGCCGCTAAAAGTTATTTCTGTTATATTGTAATATGAAATCATAAAATAAAATCATCGTAAAATTACATATCCAAGCACTGATTTTATCTTGCGATACCATATACTTAAAAAATTATTATCCTGACAAAAGAAAAAAGTCACAATGACATCATATAGGAACTACTAAATGGTGAAAGCTTTTTGCTATTTAATATTTAACTCAAATCATACTAATTACTTATCACATGTATGTATATCATATATATATTTTTAATTCGACTAATATAAGCACTCAATGCAAATAAATTATTTATCTGATTCATTTACAATTCATCTTTCAAAACAAAATGTCTTCATAAACCTCAAACAAGAGACTAAATCGCTCATTTAATCAACCCTTTGTAATTTTGTTCTTTTCCCTTCTATAGGTTCGATAAAAACCGTGGTAATAATTTTTCAAAAAAATAAATAAATTTAGAAACACAAATTCGTTTAGACAAAAGCTACTTGCATACTGAAGCAATTACATAATCAAGTTAAAGGAATCTTAGGTAGGCACAGAGGATTTTTCAGAGAGTTATTAATATATATTCTATAAAGAATTTAATAAGTTTTCTCCATCAACTCAAATATATTTATATAAAAAAAGATTCGAATCTTCTCATCTAATTTATACACACACTCAAAACCAAAGAGATTCCTTTCTACTAAAAGACGGAATCAAAATTTAATTTTGATAATTTTAATTTCTTAAAACTCTTAATATTATAGTTATTAATTAGTTATTATGCTTTTGATATTAATGAATTTAAAATATATATATAATATAATATAAAATACTGAATTCAACTGAACGCATGAAAAAGTAAGTTATATCCGCTTTTAAAGTTGTTGGAAGAGCAAATTTCTAACAAAAAAAAGATCCCGATTGGATCTCAAAGTTCAATACTTTATGATTTTCTAAGATCTCCCAATTTAATTTTATTTTTTTAAAAAAAGTGGTCCTTTTTACCTAAGAAAAAAAAGTGTGGGAAAGGAACTAATGGCTAATATTAAAGTCAAAATTTACATCTTTAAGTAACATCTCTACCATAGAGAAATCACTCAATTCTCGAAGACTAATTTTTTTTTTACTAATATTTGATATTTATAGCTTACTAATTTAATTAATTTAAATTTATTCTAAATGGATTGATAAAATATTTTCTACAATTATTTTATTTTTAGGACAACTCAAACTCATAATTATTGTTCTAATTAATGATGAAGAGACTTCGATCATCTCTTATTAACTCGCTTAGCGTCATCAACATAAGAAGAAAAACATAAAATAATATATGTAGTAAGTAGAATGAAAACCACAATATTTCAAACAAATAGACCTAAAATTGACTTATAATTGTTCACCTAAAATCATACTTAATTACCAAAAATTCAAAATTAGGAAACTTAATTTCAAGATATTGAACTAAATTGGACCCCATATATATATATATATATATATATATATATATATATATATATACTATATAGT